CACTCCTCTGCACCTAGAGACCGTTTCGTGAGAGTTGAGGACGCTCTCCAGAGGCAGGAAGCCTCGATAGCCGCCCTGGCCACCGAGGCTCATCATGCTAACTCTTCACATGACCAGACGCTAACCTATTTAGCTGCGCAGCTACAGCAGCTAACGGCTACTGTGCAGCAGCTAGTGGCAGGAGTGGTCGCTCCAGCGCCTCTTCATATGCCGTCGACACCGGCTTCTGCATCACCTCTGATGGGATTTACCCCGGAGCCTCGGGTGGGAACTCCGGAGCGCTACGCCGGGGAACCGGAGGGCTGCAGCCCGTTTCTTACGAACTGTTCTATCCTGTTTGCGCTGCAGTCACACACTTTCGCTTCTGAAGCTGCTCGTGTGGCCTTCACGGTCAATCATTTGACTGGGAAAGCCCGACTATGGGGCACAGCGGAATGGGAGCAACAAACACCCGCCTGCTCTTCGTTCCCCGCTTTTTCTGCGGAGCTGCGCAAGGTGTTTGGACCCGTGTCTGTGGGTCCAGACGCTGCAGGAGGACTACTGAACCTGAGCCAGGGTAATGGATCTGTGGTGGATTATGCCATTGAGTTTCGCACCCGGAGCCGCCTCAGCAACTGGAATTCTGCAGCCCAGTCTGACGCCTATCTGCGTGGTTTGGCGGATTACATTAAAGACGAGCTGGTGTCGTTTGATCTGCCCAATTCACTGGATGGGTTGATTGAACTGACTTCCCGCATGGATCGGCGCATCCAGACACGGAGACTGGAGCGACGATCGGCGGGAGTTCAACATGCCTGGGCGCCCCGACGTCCGAGTTTGGCTACGACACCTCACCTCACTCCAGAGCCGCAACCAGGGGGGGATGAGCCCATGCAGGTGGGTCGCACCAACCTCACTTTGGAGGAACGTGAGCATCGCAGACGTCGTAATCTGTGTCTCTACTGCGGCCGGGCCGGCCATTTTGTTTCTCACTGCCCGGTAAAAGGCAAGGCTCAGCAGTAATGGGGAACATACTGGTGAGCCAAACCCCTGGATTTGTTCCCACTCAGAGACCATTGAGCCACGCCAGGTTGCTATTACCGGATAGCTCTCAGGCGCTTGCTGTTTTTATTGACTCTGGTTCGGACGCGAATATTATGGACGAGAAGCTTATGCTGCAGTTGGGAATAGACCGGGTTCTTTTGTCTCGCCCAGTTCCAGCCAACGCTTTAGACGGTCACCTGCTGGGGACAGTGACTCATCAGACTGTACCCGTTCACATGCTCCTGTCTGGGAACCATCACGAAACTATTCAGTTTCATGTTCTCCGGTCTCCACATATTCCGCTGATCCTGGGTTATCCATGGCTCCGCCGCCACAACCCTAACATTGACTGGGAGACGGGAGCCATTTTGGGTTGGAGTCCTTCTTGTCATCTGATCTGCCTGAAACAGGCTGCCGCGCCTCAGCGTTCGGTAAACCCCAGCCAAGTTCCAGATGTTACAGGGGTTCCACCGGAATATCTGGACTTCAAGGAAGTATTCAGCAAGTCGAGGGCTACTTCCTTACCACCACACCGGCCCTACGACTGTGCCATCGACCTGCATCCCGGGACCAGCCCCCCCAGGGGTCGATTGTACTCCCTGTCTGCTCCGGAAAGAGTTTCCATGGAGACTTATATCAATGACTCTCTGGCGGCTGGGATTATTCGCCCGTCCTCATCACCTGCTGGCGCAGGGTTCTTCTTTGTAGAGAAGAAGGACAAGACCCTAAGACCCTGTATCGACTTTCGGGGTCTTAATGACATTACGATCAAGAATCGATACCCACTGCCTCTTATCTCTTCTGCATTTGAGTTGCTGCAGGGAGCAACCATATTCACAAAGCTGGACTTGCGTAACGCGTACCACTTGGTACGTATTCGCGAGGGGGATGAGTGGAAGACAGCCTTCAACACCACCTCGGGGCACTACGAGTACCTAGTCATGCCTTTTGGGCTTACCAACGCCCCTGCAGTATTCCAGGCGTTGGTAAATGACGTGCTCCGAGACATGTTGGACCGACACGTGTTTGTTTACTTGGATGACATCCTGATCTTTTCCAAGACACTGAAAGAACACGTGCACCACGTCCAGGCGGTTCTCAAGAGATTGCTCGAGAACTCGCTGTTTGTTAAAACGGAGAAGTGCGAGTTTCACACATCCTCTGTCTCTTTTCTGGGATACATTGTGGGACAGGGGAGTATCGAGATGGATCCTTCCAAGGTTGATGCAGTCACTTCCTGGGCGGTTCCAGAATCCCGTAAGCGGCTACAACAGTTCCTCGGGTTCGCCAACTTCTACCGGAGGTTCATTCGTGGATACAGTACCTTGGCCGCTCCTCTCACAGCCCTGACCTCCTCTAAGGTTATGTTCCAGTGGTCCTCCTCGGCTGAGGAGGCGTTCCAGAACCTTAAGGCCAGGTTCACCTCCGCCCCCATCCTCCGAGTACCCGATCCTGTAAGACAGTTTGTTTTGGAGGTGGATGCCTCTGATATGGGGGTGGGAGCCATCCTGTCTCAGCGAGCAATGAACAGCCAAAAACTCCATCCTTGTGCTTTCTTTTCAAGGCGTTTGACTCCAGCGGAAAGAAATTATGATGTGGGAAACCGGGAGCTGCTAGCAGTGAAGTTGGCTCTGGAGGAGTGGCGTCACTGGCTCGAGGGGACCAGTCAACCTTTCCTGGTGTGGACCGACCACAAGAATTTGGAGTACATCCGGTCGGCCCGCAGACTGAATTCCCGACAGGCTAGATGGGCCCTTTTCTTCACTCGGTTCAATTTCTCCCTCTCCTACCGCCCTGGTTCTCGGAACATTAAGGCTGACGCTCTTTCTCGTCAGTTTGGAGAGGGAGGTAACATTCCCAGGGGCTTGGACACCATCCTTCCGACTCCTCAGCTCGTCGCCGCCCTCATCTGGGAGGTGGAGGAGAGGGTCAAGGCCGCCCAGCAGGACCAGCCGGGACCCAGTGCCTGTCCGCCGAACCGCCTGTTCGTTCCGCAGACGTTGAGGTCTGATGTTATCCAGTTGGCTCATAACTCCAGACTCACCTGCCATCCTGGGATCCAACGTACATGGGAGGTAGTCCAGCAAAGGTTCTGGTGGGCAACACTTAAGGAGGACACCAGGGAATTTGTTAATGCCTGCCCTGTTTGCAATCAAAACAAGTCTTCTCACCAAGCTCCTGCTGGTCTCCTACGACCTCTGCCTATCCCTCATCGCCCCTGGTCTCACATTTCTCTGGACTTTGTTACTGGTCTGCCACCGTCCAACGGACACACTGCCATCTTGACGGTGGTAGACCGATTCAGTAAGATGGCTCATTTTGTGCCGATACCCAAGCTCCCCTCAGCCAAAGAGACGGCGGAGCTGGTCCTGCTTCATGTGTTCCGGCTCCATGGGCTGCCTACTGATGTGGTTTCCGATCGTGGTCCTCAATTTACCTCAGTGTTCTGGAGGGAATTCTGCACGCTCCTTGGGGCCACGGTCAGTCTGTCATCCGGTTTCCATCCGCAATCCAACGGTCAGACAGAAAGAAAGAACCAGGAGATGGAGACGACCTTACGCTGTATAGTCTCCAAGAACCCAGCGGCCTGGGCTAAACAACTGCTCTGGGTCGAGTACGCCCACAACACTCTGGTCAGTTCGGCCACCAAGTTGTCCCCATTTCAGTGTGCTTACGGGTTTCAACCCCCTCTGTTTCCAGCCCTGGAGAGGGAGGTTACCTGTCCGTCCGTCCAGGCTTTCATCCGTCGTTGTCGACGGACCTGGAATCAAGCCCGGAGAACTCTCGTTTGTTCGGCCAACCGATACGCCTCCTCTGCCAACCGCCGACGTTCCAAAGCACCTGTCTACCAGGTGGGCCAAAAGGTATGGCTTTCCTCCCGGGATATTCCTTTACGGGTGGATTCGAAGAAGCTTGCACCTCGATTCATTGGACCTTTTGAGATTGTCAGGATAATCAATCCCGCAGCAGTAAGGCTAAGACTGCCTCGGACTCTGCGGATCCATCCCACCTTCCACGTTTCCAGGATCAAACCTGTGCGAGAGAGTGCCTTGGTTCCTAAGGTCCCTCCCCCACCACCGCCCCGGATGATTGACGGCGGGCCTACGTACACTCTCCGGCGACTTATTCGTTCCCGTCGCAGAGGAAGAGGAGTCCAGTACCTGGTGGACTGGAAGGGTTACGGCCCTGAGGAGAGGGCTTGGGTTCCAGCTCGTCATGTGTTGGACCCCCGGCTCATCAGGGAGTTCCATCGGCGTAATCCTGAGCAACCGTCTAAGACCGTCACGTCGACGGGCAGAAACACAGGGAGAGTCTCTCCTCTTACCGTCAGCTCTTCAGAGGAGGACAGCGAGGGGCCGGCTTCTGATGAGGACGCAGATTCCGACAGGGGGCAGGAGAGGGAGGCCAAAAGAACTTTTTCAGATGAGTATTAATCCCACCTCCCACCCTCCTCTGTAGATTAGCATTTAGGGACGTCAGGAGCCGTCCATTAAGGGGGGGGTTCTGTCATAGTCTGCTCCATCATTCACCAGTAGTTTTCCATTCACCTGTCTCACCTGTTTTCCACACCCACTCATTAGCTCACTCTCTTTCTCTTCTGCACCCATTAGCTTCTGCCAGTATTTAAACCCGCACCTTACACACACTCTTTGCCAGATTGTACTTTGCCTCATGCTTGTCTTTCCCGCGTTTGAAACTAGATTGCCTACCCGGTTCCGACCCTGCCTGTCCTCGATCTGCCTGCTCTGCCTGTTCCCTGATCCTGCCTGTCCCTCGACTATCCTGTCTGGCCTGTTATCCGACCCTGCCTGTATCCCCGCTGACCGCCTCGCTTACTCCCTGACTCTCTGCCTGTCCCTGACTCACCTTCTGCCCGCTGTCCTCCGGTGCGTTAAACTGCTCGGTTGGAATTCCTCAGATCCAGTGGAATCTCCAATAAAGTGTATTACCAATTCTCCTTGGTTTCTCGAGTGCTGCATTTGGGTTCTCCTTAAGATTGTGACAGTTATACCCATTTACTCAAAACTATATGTACACTCTTTATAAGTTTATGATAGACGATTGAACGTCCAACAGCAGAATGTAGTTAATTACATCTATTAGGGCACAATACTATGAACAATCTTCAGGTAATTGGACTTTGATAAGTTTGGCTGCTAGACAAACATACTTTGTACAAAACGTAAAATCAGTTTGTACAATTGACTGTTTTGTTGTAAATCAAACTACCCAGAAGCATATACAATATTTAGATTTAACTCTGAATCCGAACATCACTTCTTGAAAAATTATAAATTAGCAATGCTTATCCAATTATTTGATAGACTGTAAATTATTACATTATTGTGTCAGGGTCATTCAGATGCATAATAAGTAATTCATATTTGATATACTGAATGCAATTTAACAGCAACACTTTTGTCAAAACAATCTTATTGCTTAATTCGTTTTATTTGCAAGAAAAAAACAAGGTTGACCTTTATACTATCAATAGTGTCTGCTGATTATATTTGTTCCTGGGAGGTTAAAACTAAGGAAAAGGAGCCTTGCAAACACACAGTTGTTTGAATATGTGCCAGTTGGCGTTGATATTCAATTATATGCCAATTGCAACTAACTGCAAAAGCCAAAACAATGTCATCAATTATTTCTGACATAGTAAGGGCCACTCCCCAAAAAGTAGGACATACATGGTTATCTTGGTTACTGAGTACTTACATAACACATGCACATACACACTCTTTAACTTAAGTGAGGATCAAATGACAGTGGTTAAAAACAGGTCAAACTTTGAATTCTATAGGCGATGTCCGAATATCTAAAATACATCTCAAGAAAGCCATGTCCTAACAGGGTGTTACTGGAACATACCGTAAGGCTACATTCTGTCATCTGTGGAGCAGGAGGGCAGGTTGGACAGCTCAGTCCTGCAGCATTCATTGAAACAGGACATGGGAACCAAGCAAAAACCAGCAGGAGGCCACCCCATGTTTTCACATACAGTATGAGAGAAAGACCATTATTGATACAGGTGTATTTTATGGTGGTTATATTATAGTGATCACAGCAATACAAAAATAGCAGCTGGAAGCATAACAAAACAGCATATAGAAGGATAAGCTCCTTTATAGCTCCTTATACCCTACCACAATAGATAAATATAAGCCTAAAAGAACATACTGTTTCATAAAAAATGTGCTATAGTGTGTAGGCACTACCGAGGACAAATCCAAGTTTTCTATTGGTCCGACCAATTTCTGGGCCGACAAGGGCGGGGCTAAACAAGTGCTTAACCAAAACAACTTTCGTGCGTGCTCCGACAAGAGAGAGAGAGAGTTGCCAGCCGGGACAAAGTCATAAAGTCTGGAGAAGAAAGCGAATGGACCGATACACGGGAAAATAAGCAGAGACTCCGCCGGGTAGTCAGGTGAGGAAGGTAGTACTAGAGCAACAAGTGTTTACTGAACTTTTTAGGCATAGACACCCGCAAAGTTGCAAGTCAATTGTGGACAAGCCCAAACTCGATGTCATTGGGTTTGAGTCCAGTTTACTTTATTGTTAACTGTAAAAACGTTGTCTTTTCCCCTGTGGTCTTGGTTTACTGGCCTCCACAAAATAACCTTGCAACACTTTAGCTCAAGGCGAGACATTGTAACACCCATAGGATGCGACTATCAGTGGGAAAAACAAAGGTCCCAAACCATTACCATATGCCAAAGAAGGGCAACACAAAAACAAACTTAAGAATAACTTAAAGCTTACTAGCAGCTTGACATGATCTGGTTTTAACACCTCATAGCTACAGTCTTTGGAAGTACTGTCGAATTCACTCAACATTGAACAACTGTATTTCACAATCTAAAGCATGTCCATTGAGAGCGGGTATTTATTTGTATCCAGAGCCACCAAAAGGCATCAGTTGAAAAGAAAAAAAAGGCAACTGGCCTGTTGATCTTTACAATTTACTGCACCAGGATCAGTTTTTGTATTTTGGTTAAATTAAAATATGTATTGGCTGTTGGATATGGTAAAAACGGATAAGTCAAATCAAGCAATCTGATTGGGTCTTAGCCGTGATATAATGAGCGTATATCACGGGTAGATAGAATTGTAGTTACTTTCTTTTTTTTTTTTCTTTTTTTTTTGGTAGTCAGTATCCCTCTGAGCTACAAAAACTGAACAGAATTTAAGATTACGTCCGTTGCGAAACTAACTAACAAAGCTTAAGATGGAAACATTTAAGGTTAACTTCGACCTCCGGGGTCGCCTTAATATGGAGGAGTAGATTTAGCAGTGCCTAAACTGCCTATCTCCTGAAAAAAAAAGCACATAAACGACGACATCACATACGTGAAGAGCAGGTAGACCAGTGGTTCTCAAACTTTTTCTGTCAGGCCCCACCTTTGGAAAAAAAAGAAGAAAGTCGGGCCCCCCCCCCAACACAAATAGTCAGGCTCAGTGGCGGCGCCAGAGATTTATTTTGGGGGTGCTGTTGGGTAGCTTGACGTTTCATAGAGGGTGCTCAACAGGGCCGGACTGGGACAATAAGTCAGGCTGGGAATTATACACCCAGCCAGGCCACTACAAGTTTTTTGTGCCATTTTTCTGGATTTATTTGTCAATTTTTACAGCGTTGCTGCCCGTAGTGATAGCCCTCTAAATCTACTACCCAAAAATAAACATATGGACATGGGTTACTATTTAAACAAATATGCAAATCTATTTAGGAACCTAGGTGAACATATTTTAAGTGGGGGTGGACTTCAAATCCTATAGGGGGGTCCGGGGGCATGCCCCCCCCGGTAAGATTTGTTTTTAAAATGTTGGACTTAAATGCATCAATCTGGTACATTTTGAGGGGGAAATAAAGAGACTACACCCATATGAAACATAACTGTATTTAAATAATCATAAAATCATAAAAACATGGCCATAACCAATAACATACCATATCCAATATGAAAAAACATTGAAACTTGTTTATTTATTTGTTTTTGGTTCATTTATAGTTGTGAGTGTGTCTGTGCTCCTGAACCAGCCTCACCTGTCTCCCTCCTCTCCCCCTGCTCCTATTTGAGGCAGAAGCAAAGACTAGTTTTAGATCTCAACAAGTTTTAATAGTTTATCTTGCCTTTTTTCACCTAGTTAACGTTTTTTAAAATTATTATTCATGCATATTTTACTAATCACTCCCCCCTCAAATGGAAATATGTGTTTACATAAATGGTGACCAAACCGTTTGAGACCCACAGAGATAACTTAGACTAAGTTAACTATCTAAACACTCAGAGAGTCCTTTACCTCACCTGAGCTGTAGTTATCAGTCTCTCAGTCTGACTGGAGAGGACTCTCCCCCCACCCTGTTGTTGAAAAAGCTCCTTATATCCGTTAGCGCAGCTAGCACCAGATGCTAACAACAACAATACACGTAACCGGTGCGCGCGCTTTATCTCACTCGCTCGCGCCACACATACACTAACACACACCCTCCCGAGCTTGAATGACACACAGAGACCAATCGAGGGCATTAGTATGATCTGTATGAAAGTGGCCATGTGGGCAGGCCACATCATGTATACAGACAGTCACACTCTGTGAGGCAGAGTCAGACCCACATTTGCGCAGCGTTGCATTCACAATACATACATAAAAAATCCTCAGGCCACTTAACAGGCCAGGCCATCGGGAAACCTCCCGGTCCTCCTGATGGCCAGTCCGGGCCTGGTGCTCAAACATTTAGGGTTTCCCATTAATGTACCGGGCACTACAGTGGAGTTTTCTACTGCAATACTCCCCACGCACACAACGTACCCGCAACTGTTACAATGAAGGCTCGATAATCAGCTCGCGACATATAGGTAAGCAGGGGTAAAGTGCTATTTTTATAGGTGGTGTGTGGACCTCACATAGGGGGGTCCGGGGGCAAGCTCCCCCGGGAAGATTTTTAAATATTGAAGTTAAAAGCATCAATCTGGTGCACTTTGAGAGCAACATGAAGAGATCTATGGATACATCTCTCAACACCCATTTGAAACAGAACTGTAAACAGATTTACTATTTCTTTATGGATATTTTACAAATCACTCCCCTTTTAAACCTTATTCCTTTTTTAATGTCATATAGTATTTCATACCTGTTTTTCATGTATTCTCTTATTTTTTTATAACTATAATGATAGTATAAACGTGTGCCTCGGAAATAATTGTTTACATTAATGGTGACCAAAACGATTGAGACCCACTGAGATAACACTGAGAGAGTCCTTTAGCTCACTGAGTCTCTCAGTCTGACAGGAAAGGGCTCTCCTCCACTTTGTTGTTGAAAAAACTCCTTATATCCGTTAGCGTAGCTCGCTAGCACCAGAAGCTAACATCAACGATCTCCGGTACCGGTGCGCTCTCTCTCTCGCTCGCGCACGCACGCACACAAAATGGCTCGTTCCACACACACACAGAGCCGAGCTTTAATGAAACACAGAGACCCAGACGTAATAGTACTGTATCATATTATTTTCGAATCAATAATTTTTAAAAATACGATTTTATTTTTTTTTAATAACCATTTTCCTCCTGGTCTCTCTCTCCCTGTCATGCCTCTGCGCCCCACTGAGGGGGCGCGCCCCCCACTTTGAGAACCACTGAGGTAGACCAACTGACCGGAGAAAGTGGAGCAATATTCTCGCCAGGCCAAGCAACAGCCGAGTACACAACCTCAGCCTAGTACAAGTAACCTCGTAAGCCATTCTACTGATGCTGGACAGTTTTTCAGTGGGTGCACAATAAACGGCAACATACAAATGAATGTAAATAAATAGCCAAATAATGGATCAACGCTGTCTGTCTAATATGTTCGCTAGCTGTTAGTGTTGTTGCATAAGGCAACGGAGGGACTATTTTATTTTGAACATCATTATTTAGTAATAAAAACTATTTAAATTGGAGTGTGTATTTTTCTTTCATATTGCCATACTTGGTAAGTATATAGCACACAACAAAATAATAGTTAAAATATATTAAATTGTATCACTGGGTTGGGCTGGGTTGAAACATATTTTTTATTAAACAGTTGTTGCTAAAAAACAAACAAAGTTATGCCATTTTTAAACAATAATTTCTGTGAAGTTTTTGAATGTTTCTTTGTCTGATGGTCTGTATCTGCTCTACCTAGGCCTAATGTTAGAGGTTAATGATGGACCCCAAGAAGATGACGACCTCCCTCCTCCTAGGCGACCCCTCGCCTGAGGCGCAGGAACAGACCCCTCCCAAAGGCCCAGGTACGCACAAATGGCAATTACATTTTATGAAGATAGAAAAACGATTGTTTGTTATGTGAATGTTGGCCAAGGAGTGTCAATGTTTTTTTAGAGGCTCATTTGGAATTGTTTATGGTGTACCTTCAACACCATATACAAAAGGGCTCCTCCCTACAGCTTGCACTACCTCTCTACCACTTTATTATAATACCACATTTGGTTACACCAGAAAGAAATATTTGTTAAATGTTAACTAGGTGCCTCTTCCAAGAAGCAGTTTAGTTGAATTTTCTAGATAACTTTCAAAGTAACCGTCCCCTTTTAGTTACCCTCAAAGTTATCTGGTGAATCAGTAAACCTGCTTTTTACAACAACAGATGAATATAAAATATATTTATTGGCACTTTTAACATCTTCCCGGTAGCTTTTAAAAACTGATTAACGAAGACACCAAAAGTAATTTATGACTTTTATTATGCCCAGGTCACTCTTACCTTGGTTGCTTAAACCCTCAACTCAGTTCATTCAGTAAATGACCCACTTCTTTACCAATGATTCTTCCTGGAGAGCGATGCTGCACCGTGCTGCGCTTAGAAGTTAAAAATACATACTTCTCTATGGATAATAGAGTGAAACACAGGTCTTTGGAAGACAAAAATAAATTCACATTTCTGCATTAAATAGGTGTCAAATGTTAAAATGTATTACGACGCATTACAACAAGCCAGTTATTCTTATCGGAGTTGAAAAGGTACTTTAGGATTGGCTCAGCCACAGTTGTTTTGTGACTAAAGACTAAAGGCAGGTTCAAATATAGCAAAACAAGTTCATTACTAAAGTAGTATTCTATCTAAATACATTTATATTGCTCTTATTTTAAATTGTTCAGGAAGTGTAATAGGAATGTGACAACATTCGTTTACAGCCATAAGACTCATTACAGGAGAGAACAGTCTAACATATGAAATATTGTAATCCCATTATGATATAAAGTTTGTTATAGAAAAGGATTGACAGATGGTATGCAGTGCAACAGTCAGAGCATATGACTTGTAGATCCTGCAGTTTGCAGCTGCGTCTCTGTTGTTCTTGCATGTTGCACCGTGGGAATTATATTAGATTAAAAAGAAAAAGAAAAAGCCCTGAAAAATACCTTGGCATTAAAGTCTTCAGCCTACTATAAAAGCAGATCTTTCAGGTTTAAACCACACTAATACCTCAGGTGCAGTCTCCTTAGTTAAAAGCTGTTAAAGGGTCAATTCATGTCATCAGAAATAATGATAGAACTTTATGACTGTTCCCTATAAATACACAAAAAAAGGTCATGCGTATTACTGTTTTTAGCTCACAAGTTTAAAGGTGCATATGTCAATTGGATATATATCTATATGCTGAGCTGATCAGTTGTGATTCTTCCAGAACTTTCCTATCTATCTTTTGATAACAAATGTGTGACAGCTCACAGTGGTAAGTGCAAGACAGCGCAGATAGGCTTTAACCCCTCACTCACTCACTCACTCACACACACAAACATAATGACTTGCAAGATTGCTTCAGCATTCTTCTGACCTCCTGTTCCACACTGTCAGAGCTTGCAAGGTGTCTTGATGGTTGGGGGAATCCTACAAGAAGAAAAGCTGTGACAATGCCGATAGTTATGGCATACATATTAATATTACAAACACTAGTATGTGTTTTATTTTTCTGCCCCCTTACATCATGATGTTAAGTACATACAGTCACTATGGATATATTTTATTCTTACTTTATGTAATTTCTTAAAAGTATACTGGAGGCAAATATGTATTCACTCTCACTCTTCTTCTCTCTGTGTGGAGCAGCAAGTTCAGCTGTGGCATAACATATTATTAATATGTCGGCTAGTAATAGATGTATTTATTTTCTTCTCAGAGTGTACCAGAATGTGTAGTTTTGTTAGTATTTCTAAAAATCTCCTGGGGGAGAATCCCCCCCAGACCCCCTGCTGGGGTTGGGTTTTCAGCACGTGTGCTTTTTTGTGTTATACAGTTCAGCTTTGATTCCATCATCTCATTAAACCTTATTTAAAAGCATACTTTAGTTCTGGGATATAAGGGATATATGCAGCACTGTACTTCACTTTAATTAATATTGTATGCTGAAAAGCGTATGTATTACAGCACGATTTTTTGTTGAATAGATTTGAGTGGTTCAACATTTTGGGTCACGATTTATTGACAAAGAAAAAAGTGGGTCCCGAGGCCTGACCAGTTGAGAACCACTGCTTTAAACCAAGCTGTACAGTAATGGGTAAAAAAAAAGGTTATCAGATAAACTTAAAAGATACACAATTAAAAATTGCATTTTTAAATATCACGGTTAACGTCAACACTGAATATCCCTACATGGGATCTTCTCATATTTTATCTTAGAGTATATTGCAAAGCCCCTATTACAAAGTAATGTCTTCTTTGAACCGGCTAACTTGTTTGTGTCTCTTTTTGGAAAAAGCAGCAACATCTGTGAGATCTCGAGGATGCACATTGAGACCTTGTTGGGAAGCTATTGTATTCCCTCTCACTCTCTCTCTGTGTTTCTGTCTTCTCTCCAGGCTGCAGCTGGCTGGTGGTGGTAGCGGCTCTGGCGGCCTCTCTGAGCGGCCTGATGCTGGGGTATGAAATGGGGCTGACCTCGGGGGTCCTGCTTCAGCTGCGGGAACTCCTCTCCCTCTCCTGCAGGGAACAGGAACTGCTGGTCAGCTCCCACCTGCTCGGCGCTCTGCTCATGTCCCTGGCTGGAGGTCCTCTTCTGGACCGCTACGGCCGCCGCTTCTCTTTGCTCCTGAGCGCCGCACTGGTGGTCGGAGGGACTGTCATGCTCATCGCGGTCAACACACTGGGTTTCTTCACCCTGGGCCGGGTGATAGTCGGCATGGGTACAGCTCTGTCTGGGACAGGAGCGTGCCTGTACATCGCAGAGATCTCACCGATGGAGAGGAGGGGTCTGCTGGTCACGCTGTACGAACTGATGCTGGTTGTGGGTGTAATGCTGGGATTTGGCTGTAGCTACATCTTCTCTACTGTGCCGCATGGCTGGGCGTATACATTTGGACTAGTAATCCCCCCCGCGCTGCTGCAGATCAGTATCCTTGTGTTCCTCCCAGCCAGCCCACGCTTCCTGGTCACCCGGGGTAAAGTGGAGCAGGCCAGGATGGTGCTGGCCCGAATGAGAAGTGGGGTCCAGGAGCATGTGGAAAAGGAGCTCGGAGACATCCAGGCAGGACTTAAAGAGGAATCAGAGCACAGTTTCTGGGAGCTGTTCAGTAGCAAAGCTAACCTGCGCTCACGGCTTCTAACTGGCGTGGCTTTAGTCTTCCTTCAGCAGGCTACAGGTCAACCCAACATCCTGTCCTACGCCTCACCGCTCCTCCGCAGCATGGCCTTCAACAGCGACGCCGCAGCGACCTTGGCCTCCACAGGGTTCGGAGTGGTCAAAGTAGTTGGCACCATCCCAGCGGTGTTGCTGGTCGACCGCGTGGGAACCAAGAACTTTTTGTGCGTTGGTGCGGTCGGAATGGGAGTGTCGCTACTGGCCCTCGGCACATTGACACTGCAAAGCCACACCCATCTCACCAGCCTGTGTAAAAGTCACACCATACCAAACCACACACATACGCCATGGGATTTAAACGGATCCTCTATAGACTTTGGCAACAGGGACATTTTAGCTACTGGCCTCCCCAGCCAATGGGATAGTGAGGAGGTACAGTGGACTAAAAGAGAGGATGATGGGAATAGGGAGTCAGGAAGGACTCCTGTGGAAGTGTCCTCCTTTATGAAGTGGGCTTCATTGATCAGCTTGCTGGTGTTCGTGGCAGCCTTCTCCATTAGCCTGGGGCCAAGTAAGCACCAGTTTTTTATTTACCCACTCCTTGGGCGCACCAAAAGCTGTAGCATCATTCCAAACTTGTAATATTTGTTGTTAACCAATAGGAGAGTGCAAAGAAGTGCATTTTTATCTGCAATAAAATACTGCAGCTAAGATCCATATGCACTGACTAGCACAGTTCAGAGAATGGCAGCAGCTTATAACACGTTTTGTTTTGTTATTTGTATTATTGCGTTATTAACCATGGTCTCTTGCGTATTTTTTTCTTTCCCTTCCAGTGGTGTATGTGGTTCTCAGTGAGATCTTTCCGATGGGAGTACGAGGTAGAGCTGTGTCTGTGGTGTCGGCTGTGAACTGGGCCACTAACCTGCTCATCTCCATGACCTTCCTCACATTTACAGGTGTGTGTGTGTGTGTGTGTGTGTGTGTGTGTGTGTGTGTGTGTGTGTGTGTGTGTGTGTGTGTGTGTGTGTGTGTGTGTGTGTGTGTGTGTGTGTGTGTGTGTGTGTGTGTGTGTGTGTGTGTGTTGTGTGTCTTCTTCTTCAATTATGTATTTTAAGGACAATGTCGTCACACAATGAAGCAGAGTTAGTCATTTAAACTGTAGAACAACTAGCAACTCTGTGGCGCAACGAAAAAGCCGTCATCGAGCCAAGAATGCATTCGAGCAAGGAGGGAAATACATAACAAGTAAAACAAACAAGCATGCTATCTAAGGTACTGTGTGGACATTTGAGGATGATGTGTTCTTTCCCTTTTGTTCTCCTAGAAAAGTTTGGTCTCCCCAATGTGATGTTCCTGTACGCTGTTATGAGCTTTGTTCTGCTGGTCTTCATCATCTTCTGTATCCATGAGACCAAGGGTCGCACGCTGGAGGAGATATCAAAAGAACTGGCTAAGAAGTGAGTGGGAGTTTGCTGATAAGCTTAATGTTATCAAGGTGTCAAGTCGTTTTCTAAGTAGATTGCTTTATCTTCCTTCTCTGCTTTCCCAGGAAACATTTTGAGGGGAGGCTCTGCAGGCAGGTTCAGCCTCAGAAGAGTCTGATCTGCAGCAGTACGTCCACAGAGACTCCAGCAAACGTCTGATTTTATCATTGGATTCCCAACTGTACACCTCATCTGAAGGAGAGTCCAGGGGCCTCATTTATAACGCCGTGTGTAGGATTCACGTGGGAAGGTTGCTTACGTAGTAGAAATCCAAAAAATATATACAGAAATGTCCCGATTCACCAAACATTGCGTACCGGCGAGGAAAGTGCGTACGGCACTTCCAACGCCGGTTTCCCTTTATTAATCACAATCGACTCGAAATGCGGTGCAGTTTTTGCGGGCTTCACGTAACGCCCATATTTGCCTATAAATAGTCAAAGAAACGGCCATTCATTCATTCATTCTGACTGACTTTATGAAGAAGATCGCAGGAAATGATGACAGAACAGCTAAAAAAGACATCTCACACCGTGTCAGATTTTGGTTATTTTGGGGAGGTTGAGATAAATCATATTGTTTGGTGGATGCCGTTTGAACCAGAGTAGCAGCATGGAGGTCGGATCGTCACCAAAATAAATAAATAAGTGGTCCGAAAAAGGTTAATGACAAAATAAATACATATAGCCTTCCTCAGGCAGTGTGTTTGTACCGGGGACAGGAGACACCCCCTTGATGAGAGACTGTAAGAAATCCCTCCCTCCGGAGTGGAGTCATGACGACTGGATCTGAATTATGTTTTTGGATTTGGTGGTTTGTGTCCCGCTGTCGATCAGCTGTGCGCTGCGTCTCCACTGCAGCCTGTGCATCTCAAGCAGTGCGTACGCATGGGTTAGAGTTTGCGTGGAGGACCGCACATTTTCCCGTCAAGTTAGTATTTTATAAATCGCAAACATTGCGTAGAAACTGGCATAGGCTACGCCATTTTTTGAGCGTATATCCCTTTATAAATGAGGCCCCTGAGCATTTAAGGGCAACTGTTAAGAATTTGGGCTTGAACTCGTAGATCGCTGCAGTTCAAGCAGATCCTGTATTGATGGCAAACTCATATCCTTGTTGCTACGTGCTGCATGTGAAGGACGAACAACAGGAAGGGGATAATGGAAATTGTATTTTCAGGACATTTTTAAATAATTAAGGTTTGATTACATTAGTAGAACTCAGGTCTCACTTCAGGAAGTAAAGATAAACTTTGGGGATGAATTTAATTTCTTTGTAAAAAATGCCTTTCTTGTATGACCTACCAATTCAACCCCAACATAATGACTTCCATATAAACCTTGAATTCTTGGAGAATATGTTTTTCCAATGTCTCAATAATTCAAGGGTGAACATATATACAACAAACATATTGGGGGTAAAGTATTACCTTAAGAATACAGTTCCAATAAGGCAGAAATGAAAGAAAACCCACTCAAACTGTTCTACTACAGGTTTTTAGTTTAGACAAAATAATGTCTCGTTGGTCTTGATTAGGGAAATCAAAGATGTACTAAACTATCAAACACTAATAACTTGAAATGCCTGTAACATTCTTTGAATTCCGAATGAATGCATAATGCATTATTTATGTACTGTAACAACACTAGAGCCCGGTGCCGCCTCTTTTTATATGGGATTAAGCAATCAAGAAAATGATGACTCAACAAGATACCTTTTACTGTCTGCTGCACAAATACTAAACTCATCAGGTATGGTAGTATTATTGGCTAGACAATATTGGTACTGTTGTATTGTAAGATGAAAAGTGATGAAATGGTTTAGTTTTTTTACTCAATGTTGCCAAAATTAAACTTAGATGATTAACAAGTGGGATGTTTTACATCAAAGTGTGTACTTTGATACAGCTCCTTATCTTTTTCTCCTGTAGGAATGTATTTGTAATCGGATACACTGAAAATCTTGGATAACCATGAGTTATTCATTGCTGTAATCACGCCACGCACGTACACAAAGAGAGTAAATGATACAAAGTGAAGTGTAGTTTTAATTGTTCCTTTATTTTTATACAAAATACAAAATTCTGAACAAGTGTCACAAACTTTCAGTCGACACAGTCCATCGCACATACTTAAGACGACATGTCAACGGCTATATCAACATGTTTTCATCAGATGCCTCTATTATATACATACATCTGTTGCCTGACATTAGGTTGTCCCAATTAAAAACACTTTCTGTTGTTCAGAATGATAATATGTGTAGGATTAGATTTTTCTGGGACTAGCTAACATCGTTGTCATTGCCTCTTTGAACACTGTGAAATGGAACGGCTGCTGTTGAGATTATGATTTATTTACTTAAAAATGACACTCGATTTTTTTTAAAGAGTTTCTGTTACTCTAGTCTGTGCCTCTCAAGCAATTTCAAAGACTAACTATGGACGGTGTTTCATAACTGTTCCTTCCCTTGTGTCAGCAACAATGACCTGGGACTAACCAGAAGTTCTGTTTAGTAAAAATGAGTTGGGGGGTCTATGGTGACGGACACATTAAGAATGAAAACATACCCTTTCAAAGTTGTTGTTTTGTATATTTGCCTTGTTTAAATCTATTATTAAAAAATGAAATCACAACTTCTGTGAATTCTGATCCAGTACCAGTTAAGAATGAAGAACAGATTTATAGTAAACTGACAACTAAACCAAGTAATAAACAGATTACAAGCAACAAGTTAATTGAGATTAATGCTTTCTGTGAGCAGATATGTGCATCTGCATAAAGAACTGCAGCCTTAGTCCAGACTCCATGTTTTTCTGATTGGGCAGAAATATGGATAATACAGAGGAGGCCTTGGGTTTGTGTTAACACGCCATGGACGGAGATTATTTTAGAAAAACGACATCTTGTATGTAGAGTTAAAGGTGAGGCTTCTCAGTGTAGACCTACTGACCCGATGCAATGGTCACAAACGTTCAGCGTTAGACTGTTAAACACGGGTCTTTCTGTGTCCACCCAGAGCAAATGAGGAACATGAGTGAATAACTTCAATGTCAGGCAGGTCTGGAAGAGCAGTTTCCACTGAAGAAGGTGACGTTTGAAAGACAAACTTGTAAGTCTAGGCGGTTAAAATCACAATAGCCACAGAATCCACAACAACAGAGACACTTGTGAGAGGGAAGTTGTTAAAAGTTCAAATCCAGGTGACATCCAGTCTGTTGTGTTAGAAGTTTGTGGACACGTAGCGGTAAATCCAAGCAAATAAAACCCAAGGATAAGGTGCTTCCTCACTGACAAATCAGACGTGTTCATTCCCTCTGTCTTTGACACGTTTCTTCTATTTGCGGAGGGGTTTCCTACACTCGAACAGTAGTGGGTACACCTGCTCAACAGCTGTGGCCACAGTCTGCACATTTGGTCCTGGACAATGGGATAGATGGGGATGGAGTGGGGGTAGGATGAGAACATAACAATAAGGTTTTAGTACAATTAAAAGACAGATAGAAGCCAAAAAATTGAAGTCACATATACCATTAGCACCATTGTTTGAGTTAAGTTTAACACAAAAACGTCCTAAACTATTTCACCCAGAGTAAAAATTCCTTTTCTGGTTGTGACAGACTATAAAAGCGCCTCCTAGCTGAGGATGAGACTCAGGGCACAGTACCCTATAAGAAATGTAACGGTGTACAGCATTGCACTTTTACTATTTAATCATTATTACTAGTATAATTATCAGTTACTAAGACCGTTAAAGTAATGACAATAGAAGAATAAAGACATAGTTTTAAACCTGATATTAAAAAAAAAGATAGCATCTCACTGAAGCAAATTAGTTGACATGTTGCCAGCAGTATAGCAGGAAAAATAAACTAGTGAGTTTATTTGAATACTGTAGATAAGGAAATTAACACAGTATGGTAGCGGTCAACTGTCACACACATATGTGCATGTAGCGAGAGGTACCTGTAACTGTGATGCTGCCAGTCGAGAACACCTGGACGGTAGCTTTAATATGTTTGATCCTGTAGGTGGCAGCAGGATGGAGCTCCGGTTCATAACTGACAAACAAGCACAAGGTAAGTCATCTCAAAAATCTTGATGAATCAACCATGACCTTCAATAACTATTTTTTGGACAATAACTGAAAAAACAAAATCATAATTGAGGTTATTCATCCAGAATACAGTATTCTCCCCTAGCATGCAGCATTACAGGGACACAGAAGGTTAATTCATTTAATTTTTGGGCCAAAACTCACTCAAAAAAATAGAAGAATACACCATGTACTTATTTTACAATCTATATCTGTGTACCTATCCAAGTACATATACAGCTTTGTGAATCAGAAGCTGTTTACACATACTCATCTTTTCTCTGATGCTGGTGCCAAATGAATACTGAAATGCTGAACAGTGCTCACACCACTAGAGGTCATCCTGCCCTTCCAAATAATTAAACACTATGTTAAAAAAAACTTTTAAACAGGGCTATTTACTCCAAAATACATGTACTGGGATGCCTCTGGCAACAAAAATTGAAATAAATGTAATTACATTTCATTAAAAATAACTGACAAACCATATAATAATGACACTAATCTGTAGTCTTTATGAGATCAGAGATAACGTCAGACTTCTAATGAGTCAAAATGAGAACCAAAACATTTTGGAGATTCTGGACTGACAGGAGAAACCATAGGTACTATGTTATATATATTTATAGCACTGCTAAGACAAATCTGGATAACAGTTATGATTGTAATCAGTGTGGTGATATTGGTTGTAATGCATAGTACTGTATTACCTGGCAATGGGTCGGTTGTTCATTGTAAAGTCTATAAGGGCGATTGAAAAGGGCATGGAGCACACTGCCAGAACATTCACCACTTTGAAGGCTGAAAACCTCACCTGTGTAGAAAAACATACACATGCAGTTACTCATATGAATGTATTTACTCGTACATGCGTCCACATTAAAGAAGAACTCTTGTCTTTTAATGTTGGTCTCATGGCCTTAGTGTTGGCAATAATTCCTATAAGTCAGCCCCCACACACACTCCAGTTATTCCAGAAATATATGCAAATGTAATCCACCGATAACCGGCAAGTAATCTGATCTGGTGAGAGGTGACCCGTCTGAACCAAATGAGAATTCACAAGAAATGTAATCATTTAAACTGTCAGTATGTTTGTTTGACTAAAGAACTGCATTAACAGCAGAGCCTTCTTGAAACATATTGACTCTTGCTGAGTCAATAAGTCCAGGATTGTATAAAGAAAAGAAAAATCCCCTGAGAAATCACATGTTTTTCTCATAAGAGAGGCTTGAACCTTAACTAGACAGTCTAAAATGCAAGCATGTTACAATACGCTTCACATTCGGATTGTTATGCCTGTTTTTCAAACATAATAAAGTGCTTTTTGTTATGATACAAAGGT